CCCTAGCCCTTCATTACTTCAGGAAGAAGAGTGCCAGCTGTCACAGTTCTGATTCCCATGAAGGGTCATAGCCTTACACGTCGGGAAACGGCAGGAATGGGCTATCCTCTGAGCAGGTGCCCTCTGCATGGTGGTGGTACAGGCGCTCTGTCCCACCCGGCAGAGCTCTCACCTCTGTCATCGCAGCAGCCCTGGGGGGTAGCACAGGCATGTCTCGCAGCTGAGGAAGCAGCAGGCGTTACTAAGTGACTTGCCCAGCATTGCCAAGTAATGGCAGAGCCGGGCTGCAGACTGAGCTCTCAGAACAGCAGGGCTGAAAGGTGCAGGGCTGAAGGAAACGTGGGCTCTCCCGGCCCCATCGTGAAAAGCTTCTATGGAGTGGACCGTGACTGGAGAAAGGGTTATTTTCCTGTCTGGATTTTTGCTGGAAACAAAGGCACTTTCATCAGGAAGCTAGTGTGCTGTGCCTTGACGGAGGCTGCTTTCCGACCCAGTGGCAGTGGACAGTGGGCGCCTGGGTTGGGAATAGCACAAGAACACCAGTTAAGTTGACCCAACCCTCATGGACTCAGTTACTCAACAAACCTGTGCCAGGGGTTGAGCAGGGCATAGGGATGCCAGTCGGAGGGTCCCAGTGCTCTGTGTAGAGAGGCGAGAGTGAGGGAGAAACCACAGGGAAGGCTCGGGTTTGCTCAGAGGCCGAGGGAAGGGGCTCTGAAAGTCCCCTTGGGAGGGAGGGGCGGGGTTCGTGTGCTTGGAGGAGGGTGGGTCACTGTCTGGGTTCACTGGAGTATAGTGTCCTGGGGAGATCTGGAACATGGCACCAAGGCAGGGCTTTCCCCTTAAGCTTCGACCAGTAGATGAGATACAGTGAGTCTGAGAGCTTTTCTAAACCATGGCATCGGCAGGCTTTGGCCGACACGTCAGGGTTTAAGGGACAGAGAAGAGTCTGGAACGCCTCTCAGACATGCATGTTGATGACCAGGATACTGCTAACTGAAACAGGGCCTGTAGAGTGGGGGAGAGCTCCTGCCAGAGTGCCAGCCAGGCCGTGTGACTGGTGCTCCTGTTCAGCCAGCATGTGACATGCTGCCTGGGGCTGTGGAGAGTCCTCTCCCCACCAGGAGCCTCCGGTCTGCCTGCGGAGGCTGGGCCCTTGACCACAACTTTTCTCCCCTGTTATGATTCCATTGCCCCAGGCCTGACACCCCTGTCTCCCTTCCTACAGGGCCTACTGAGGGCCCTCTCGGTCCCTGAATCCCCCTTGGTGCCCTGACTCCCAGACCACCCCTCCTCTCACCTGGAGCCCTTGCTGTCATGAATTTTCATTCAGCTTTTCCAGAGCATGTTTTGTAAATTCTTCTCAAGTGTGAGCTGGGTCCCAGATGGACCTGCAGTTCCCAGGGGGCAGAACTCCAAGGTGAGCAACTTCCAGACAGGGGCTTGTGAAATGTTGGCTGAATTAAGTAGTCAAGAATCTTAAGGCCTTTCAAACAGTTAGTGCTTGAGAGAGAAGAAAGGTAAGCACACTTGGATAGTGATGGCTCTGCTTCTCCTGGAACTAGAAGAATTCTGAGCTGCTCCAGGGAGAAGGTCTCATGCGGCCACCTCTCAGCTCTCGGGCTCCAGGGCTTTCTGTGCCCCGTGAGGCCTGTGTCAAGCTCAGGTTATATATATGTCTGTGCATTTACCTCCTTTGCCTGGGGAGCATGTGGGCCACACTGTGGCCTGTTTCTCTGTGGCTCCAGTCAAACCGGCCAAAAAGAAACCTTGCCTGCTATAGGTGGGGGCTGGGTATGGAAGGGTTCCCCACCGCCAGCAGCTGCCCGTAGATGTCAAGACTTGTAGGAACCAGGCATGGTGCAGGAAGTGGTGAACCGTGGGTCAGCCTGATTTCCCGAGCCTTCCATCTCACTCAGAGTAGCAGTGGACACCCTTCAGTGGCCGGAGGGCCTGCCCATCTCCCCACACCCACCATGCACTCTCCCGGCACCCACTCTGTCCCAGCGACCACCCCAGGACTGTGTAGGCACACTCCAGGCCTCTGCACTTAACCTGTTTGCCTGGAGCTGGGCACATGGCTCATCCCGTTTTTGCCCAAATGCTCCCTGCTCCGAGAGGCCCTCTCTGCTTAAAATTGCTGCCCTGCACTCCCTCCCTCCCCTGCTCCTTGTCCTCCATGGCATGTATCTTCGTCTGGTGTACTGTATGTTCCACCTGTCCCTGTGTTTTGTAGCTCTCCATCCCCCGACTAGAATGTAAGCTCGATTAAAGCCAATGTTTTCCCTCGTCTACAGGGCCTAGGAACGTGTCTGGTGCACAGTGCATGCTTGGTATTTATGTGTTGAATAAAATCATACTTTATCTGCATTTCATCTGTCCCATCTTTCTAACGGCTGATAAAGACCTGAGCCATGGGGACCATAGTCTGTGTGTGCTCTGCAGGGAATACAGTTTGAATAGAGCTGAATTCCCAAGTGACCTTTGAGAGGTTAGGTTCTGTAGTCAGCTGGTAGAGCAGAGACCTACCTCATGGTCCAGCTGCCCTGTAAAGGCCTTGGGGTGCCTGTGTGCTCAGAGGCGTGGACACTTCACTTCGAGAGGCGAATAGGAACTGCACCCCTGAGAGAATGCGCAGGCTCCCATGTTCCGGTCCCCTCCCAAACCCTGCCCTCACCAAGAGAACAGCAGGGGCACTGGCCAGCTCACTGCAGTTGTTCTTTTTCCTGGGTACCGTGAAATGTAGGTGAACTTCCATGATGGAAACCCACTGTGGGAGGCACTTTGTTGGGAGTATAAGGTCCCACTCCAGCACATCTTGGAAAACATTTGGGGGAACATGTAAGAGGCAGGGCCGAGATCCGTGCAGTCAAAGCGCGCTGGGTTGGGTGTGGTCAGGATCCTCTCTGGGCGCCTGGCCCGGCCCCCAATCAGGGAGCAGCCAGAGGGGGGCGCTGCTTATCTTCCCCACCTCACCTCCAGCACTGCACCCTGCCCTGCCTTTGGGGGTGCTTAGGGACTGCACCCACTGGGCTCTAAGAGCACGCCGTTGAGTGAGGTCACTGCAGCTGCTGTTCTTCAGCCAGCAGTGCTCCGCATAGAGGAGTGAGAGAGTGCCCTGTAACGTGAGGGACACTCACCCCCTATTCTGAGGGAAGTAATGTATGGATGGGGACACTGAGCACGTGAAGGCAGAAAGGCAAACTGCCGTCTCGGGAGCATAAAGGTTTGCTCCCTCACCATGGAATGGGGGGGTTGGGCAAGGCCTGCGGGCATTTGTGTCAGAAAGCAGTCTCTTCCAGCTGAGGGGCCGTGCCTCCGTAGTGGCCAAATGGCTTGGCCGCACTTAAGGATGAGGGTGGTACGTCTTGAGTGCAGATAAGTGATTAAAATAGAGTCAATCCAAAGATGGTCCATTTTGTGTCAGCTCAGTGAGGGCAGAGGCGTGGGGTCTTTCCTTTTCAGGGCTCCTCTCTGATTCGCCGAAGTGATGGTTCTTTAGACTCATCATGCTTCTAAAATTACTTGGCCTTTTACTTACCAAGTCTTGCCTGTCCAACAGGTGCAGACGGCCTGTTCACTCACTAGTTGCAGCTCTGTTTTCGCCCCTTTGCTCCTCATTCCTCCTCCTGTCTGTTCTCCTCCTTCTGCGCCAACGTTAGACTGTGCAGAAGCCAAGCTCTTGAGCCCAGCCTTGCCTGGAGGTATCTGAGGGCTGGAGACCACAGGACAGTTAGAGGC